ATGGTGCAAAGGCAAGCTATTTTTAATTGATTCATTCATTTATATGTTGATGCAACCACCAAAAGGTAGTGGCAACTTACCCTTTTAATTTGTTGGCGACGAACAGGGAAGACAATCTACATGTGATGATAGTGTGGTTATAAATCTGTGTTTGTCATGCTGTTCAGTATTGCTCAGATGCGTCAATTGATCGCGACAAGGTTCATGCACTATCACTAGCCATACTTCGGTGACATTGGTGCAGATTGTAAATCAACACAGTTCAGCACATCTCGGCATGTGTATACATTGTTGTTTTGATTGTTCAAGCTTCACAATGCCAAACCATTTTGCATGATGGATATGTTAGCCATCCGACTGAATCCAACTATGAAAAATGCGTCAAACACAGCAATACAACTAATCCCTTGCTCTTTATAGTTCGTTTGAAATCCTGGTTTCGTATTGGATCTGTTTATTTGGGGATCCTTATTTTGTATACTCAGTACCACGGGGGATTGGAGAGTTGAAGATCCATCATGCTGTGCGCCAAGAGCCTTTGCATAACAATCATATTATTGATATACCATGATATGGGTAGGAGGTTTAGATAAACACCCTACAGTAAATATATATATATATATAGAATAAATATAGTTACATCTATACATGCATGCATGCATGCATACATACATACATACATACATACACATACATACACACATACACACACATACATTCATACATACATACATACATACATTGTTACATACATATCATACATACATATGTTACATACATACATGCATGCATGCATGCATACATACATACATACATACATACATACATACACACATACATACATACATACCTACCTACATACCTACATACCTACATACCTACATACCTACATACCTACATACCTACCTACATACCTACATACCTACATACCTACATACCTACATACTACATACCTACATACCTACATACCTACATACCTACATACCTACATACCTACATACGTACATACGTGCATACGTACATACGTACATACCTACATACCTACATACCTACATACCTACATACCTACGTACCTACGTACCTACATACGTACATACGTACATACGTACATACGTACATACGTACATACGTACATACGTACACACGTACACACGTACATATGTACATACGTACATACGTACATACGTACATAGGTGACATACGTACATACGTTACATACATGCATTCGTTACATACGTACACACGTACATATGTACATACGCACATACGTACATACGTGACATACGTACATACGTTACATACATGCATTCGTTACATACATACATACATACATACAGAAACTGATGCAAATAAAGACCATATAGACCACATACCTTATACCTGGAGTCAAAACCCCAGCGCTTCGCCATGGCTGTAGCCTGTTCCCCCGTCTCAGCGGTCTTCGGCACGGATCCCATGAGGGTTCTGGGTGATGAACGCTGGCTGTGGACAAAGGACCAGCCGGAGGCTGGGAATCCCCTGGTCATCCATGACTTGGATGATTTTGGGGTACCACCATTTGAGGAAACCTCCAGGAAAAAAAAACTTGGAGGATGATCCCACCTAAGTCGTTAATAGCCCTGGTGATCGTAAGTCCCCTTCTTGGAGTTTTTTTTTTTGGGAGGATCTTCCAAGACCAACTTCACAAAATGCCATTGGTTATGGGTATCCAAAACCATGAGAATCTACATGAATTTGCCATAGTTTTTTTGTGCTGCTCATATTGCCATTGGTTTGGTTGGTCGAAACCTTCGATTAAAACTTGGAGATGTTGTATAACTTTGTGGAAACACTTATTTCACATCCCAGCAGTGATTGCTAAACATTAATTTGTTCTGCAAAGTTGTATTTTTGTTGTTTGCCAGGGAATTGTACTCCCACTGGCCCCACTGATGGGAGAATTGATAGAATCTATCCACAATAGATTTCCATTATTGCACGTATAATGAGCCAATCCGCAGTACAGACTTCCACACTGAAATGTCACCTGATCCGGATGTAGGTGGTTTAGGAGTTGCGGCAACCAAAGTTCAGACGCTAATATCAGGTATGAATCCAAAGTAATATATATGCAAACTTCCAACTACAGTTTTGACTTCATGATTAGAGTGCAAGATGGTAGGTTTTGGATGTTGATTATTCAGAATGGTTCCTGATATTTCAGGTTCTTGGGTTGAATTGAGGACAAAATTGCCATGTAATTTTGAGGGGTTCTCGTGCCGTTTTAATGCAAATCCAGTGAAACATCATCTTCGGTAGTTAAATCCAAATTTTGTGTGGGAAACCTCAAAACTGGTTGATAAATCAATAGTTTAGAATCCCCCCCCCAGAAGAGACAGAAAGGTAAAACCCTTCAAGAATCACGGCAAACTGAGTCCCTTCCACCGCTAATATGAAATGCCCTCCGAAGCGGCTCCTGGTTTAGTATTGGATCTTTTCATGACTTGGGGTTTCTGTCATTGTCAGTCATGGAGGCTATATATTCGGAGGAAGGGATTATATATATATATACTTGTTACTTATGATATATATTGGGGGGAAAGAAAGCAAACACGTACAATATCACAAACATATACAAAAATAGATAACTATACATAAATCAGATAAAATACAAAGGTGGCAAATTACTTGATTGTCAATCTTTTGTTTGAACTGTAGATCCCCAATCATCTTTGGAGGCGCCACAATAAGCCATTGCCAGTCACCTGCCGGCCAGGCATCAACATCCTCGTGGCTTGGTCGGTTTGTTTGGAAATATGCAAAATCCAATGGCTATTTAATCCCCCTTGTCAATGGTTATTTTTCCCATTCAGTGACTATTTTATCATGTATCATCATGACTCATGATATTTTGGATCAGATGACCACTGTGAAATGACATGAAAGTATGCATGCAGATATGCAGTATATCAACCCCTGGCAACGTATAAAACCTTGTTGAGGCTGCATCCAATTGTGGGATCAGGATCTTTTCTCATGGATGGGTTCACCATGGTTCACCATGGTTCACCAGCTAGTTCGCCCCCAGGTCCTCATTTGGCGACATCGCCGGGCGATTGGTTTATTCCAAGTTCTTTGACATCTTCACGGCCTTGGTGATTGTGGCAAGCTTGGTCATTCTAGTGCCTTGCCATGGCGAGCCAGAAAGACGTTGTTTTTGTGGGGCAATCTATCGAAATAGTTTCCGAACCATTGACCAGGTGGTGGATGAAGACACCGCTCTTGACAGAAAGAGTTGTAGACCATTGCAAGGGATGAACTTGCCGAGTTTGAGTCTCACAGGATCTCTCAAGTGCGTCTTATGTAGTCTAGAGATGTTTACACTTACTGACGAATCCATGTATTTTCTGCCGAAACATGACTTGCGGCAGGTATTTGAGGTGAATGCAGATGCCAGATGTTATCCTGAGTTCCTTGGACGATGCATCATGGGCGCTGTTTTGTCACCATAGATTCCAAATTGGTTCAGTATATTCATGATTTGGGGTCCCTGACTTGGGGGTATGTCTAACATGATCTGGCCAGGTTCTATCACAGTCCACCTGCGCAGGTATGCTCAGAGCTTTCAGGATTGTCCTGTCAGCTTCTTGGCAGCTTGAGTGACCCCGAGAATCCATGTGTGTGTGTGTACAATGTCTTGTCTACATTTAGGTACATCAATTTGAGCAAATTGTAGCGATGTCATGCGACGTCATTTGAAATTCGACCTAAACCACAGAATTTTTCACCCTCCATGTGCCAGTGCCATAGAGGTACCAACTTTATGGTGCAGCTAATTGGGCGTTGTTCCCCAAATAGGTTTTGACCCCTCCCCAACTCATGAAGCAAATGGGCGATGCCCAGAGCCTTGAGGTAGCTTGCAGATACAATGGCTGGAACATGCGAACACTGCCCTCCTCCTCATCTTTTCCATAGACACTCGGATCACTCGGGCCGCGGCAAAGGTGAGACTTGGGGATACTGATCAGCCAAATATGTAAATATGTGTCAACACGTTTCTTCAGAGGGCGATGGAGAGAGAGAGAGAGAGACATTTCTTCCGGCTTTTCAATAAAACATGTTGTCAATTAATTGCATTTGTGCATGCATCTGTTCGCAAGGCACACCCTTTTCTTTTTCACCGGATGCTGACGGTGTTTCAACATTTTTTTGACGGCTTTTGGATACCCAACGCTGGAAATGAAGCGGGGAGGAGATAGTAGCTTCATCCAACATTCACCGAATCTTCAGCCTTAGCTGGTTTCGACCCCCTGCAAATGTAGACTTTTTGGCAAATACGCACTATAAAACCACTTCAGGTCACACCAGCAACTTCGACTGATACAGCAATAGTATTTCCAGCCGTTTGCCAACTGTTCAAGTGGCCTCATTTCACCCAGAGGGTTGGCGTGCCATTAGGAATGCCTTGCCCGCGCCTGTGCTGAGCAAAGCCGTTTCTTTTGCCGCTTGGACTTGGCGCAATTGGACTTCTGAATGCGTTGGTTTTCACTAGTCATATTTGATTATTCACTTTGCAGATTCTGGCGGTCTCCAAGTACCATGCATGCTATTTCTTTAATTTGATTCTCTTCTCCCTGAGGAGAAGATGAACACCGAACCATTTCTTGTCGATGCCCATTCTAGCATCTCCTGTCATTGGTTCCATAATTTTCCTTGAACATCAAATTGCAAAAAAAAACAAATTCACATGGTTTGCTCCTGCACAGGGATGATCTTTACGATCCGGCTCCAAACCTTCACTGTCAGTGTCATTGGGAGTTAAATTGCAGTGATGGTCGCCGTACAAAGCTGCCCCAACGAGTAAGCTTAAACCTGCGCATGTCAAAGGTTTTGCCATAGGCTCGGCTTCCTATTCCTCTAAATTTCAAAGGTGGCTCAGGTGCAGGTTCCTGGAAGAGAAATGAGGCAACGGTTGGAATCTCATCGATGTGGCCACGGTGCTCGTGGGTTTTCTGGGTAAAATGTGGACCTCGACGCTGAACGTGAACTTTCTCAGGCACTGGAGCTGAGGGTGGGAAAGACTCAAACCGGGGGACTATTTTTTGGCATATACAAAAAATACACATATGAATTCATGAATGCAGAATATATATATATATATATTATATTAATTATATATATAATATAATATATATATATATATTATATTATATATATATGTATTTTTGGAGATCAGTGATGGAGAGATATACATCATGTTCATCCCAAATTTACCATTTCAATTGTTATTTTTGTTCATGAAATTGCTTTACTAAACATATTCTGCTAGCATTGCCCGGTCACCCTCCTCGGCCACGGCTGCAGGGCTTTCCGTCTTCTGTGCATTTGCCGGAGCTCACGCATGGCAACTTAGGTGTGAAAGAGATTCCTACAAGGTGGTGCTCGCAAACTATGGCTTATTATGGTTGAGTATTTATTGTGGAGTATTGTGGTTTATTTGTGGTTTATGAGTTCTTGCCCGTCTAACTTTACTTATCATGCCCATAAATCATAGTTATATAATTTATAACCTAGTGATTTAAAAGACCACCACCACCACCACCAACAACAACAACAACAAGAACAACAAATTGGCCAAATATGGTGCACCTCCTTGCATGGGGGGTTCCTAAGATGGGGACATCTTGAAAAGTCACCCTAGCGATTGGTCATGTCTAGGGAAACCAATGGTATACGAATGGTACCCCAGTTTCAAACAAAACAACGTGGGGTTCGCCATTTGGACACCCCCATGCGGACTTTGACAGGTTGCACGGTTGCACCACGATTGTGGCAAATGACTTGGCAAAATCCTGAGATCTTTGGACTTGGATCCCAGGTTCATTGTCCCACCATAGCCTGGAGCCAGGATAGCTGTCACCGGGAGTTCGCCCCAGGTGACCTCTGTTCCAGAACTCCGCGTGCTGCTGGTGGCGTTGAAGGCCTCCATGAGGGCATTGGTTGTTGCTTCTTGGACGCTGGTGATGGGGGAAGCCGGCTGCAACTTCCTTCAGGTACTGTTTTTCTTTTTTTACCATCATATTATATATATATAGTTGTATATATATATAGTTGTATATATATATAGTTGTATGCTTCTGGTCTCTGTTGAAGTGGCTGGCGCATCAGACTGCCGGGACTGATGAAGGTGCCTGAATTGTTTGGATTATCACGTGTCATGGTACTTTTGGAGAAGAGATCGCCAACCCAAAGGCCATTTGCATTGTCAAAAAGAGTATGCTGTATGCTCAACACTTTCCAAAATAATATTAGAAAGGGTTCCAGCTAACTGGCGCTCTGCAGTTTCGCTACAAAGGCTGCTGTGTTTCTCCTGTTCATTCTCTTTCTGTGGGCCACTCGGTTGCAGGCAGAGCTAATGGTTTTCAGGAGCGCCCAAGCACAGCTGCAACACTTTTTCTGAGGCTTCGAGGGCTACGGTTTGAGCTATTCATCCACCCATACGGATTGGTCTGAAAATATGGTACCCCAGTATCCATTGGCAAATCATCATGTTCCTCACGTAAAAACCAGTTGCAATGAGTTTGCAGGGTATACCGCAGTTTCAAACAAAGCCATGATATGAGAAGAATCAAGCGTCTGTCTATCAGTACTTACCTCCTCTCCACGTCTCCTTTCTTCCCTAAGGCCATCGTTGCAGTGGAAACCCTACACCCGTTGCTGTCCTCGTCGCACGCGTCCGACGATGCGTTGGCCTTCGAGGATGTGTGGAAGGCAGCGGTGACCATTCTGCTGCAGATGGGGGGATGGATCCAGGAGGATTTCGGAGACGTTGCCGCTGGGCTCCGATGCATGGGAAGCGTGGATGTTGGATGCTGAGATGAAGATAGATTCACCGGTGAAATCAGATGCTTCGGGAAATTAAGATCATAAAAAGGAAGTGAATGGTGCTCTCTCTCTATAGATTATTTTTGGAAGAATGTGCGTGCTTCGTTCCGTGGTGCGATGCCTAAACTTGGAGTCAACTTGCAAACTGAGATGCCATGAACATGTTCGGAATTAATTACCTGCATATTTTGTCGAAAGGATGAAATCATATAGAATGAAGCCGATCCCAATCTGAACAATCACAGGTGAACTGCATAATTAAGCAACTATCCCACAGGAAAACTGCAAACCAAGATCCATCCCATGGTGGGCCTCACATGTTTCGTGGATGTTGCTTCGCGAATTCCTGCAGGAGTATGAAGTGATTTGTTCCAAGAGCCCAAGGAAAAACAAACTACGTCCTACGTCCTAAATGCCCCAAGCAAAACCTTAGTTAATTATCGGATCTATTCATGATTTGCGGGCCAAGTCATGGGGTAGATTTGATATAGTGGCAGTTTCTTTCCATGTCAGGATTGTCAAATTATGTTAGGGTCAAACATGGTTGAAGTCAGATGTTCGAATTGTTGTATCTTGTTGGTTGCTGGAACATGAGTAATTAGAACGAACAAACATGAACCCACATGCTTCCAATATTTACTTGTTTGGTTAATTCACAACCACCATTTTTATCCATATTTGATGATTCACAGCGCATACGTTTCGGAGATTTCTGCGCTTGCCGAGGTGCTTGATGCGCCATGGACGGCTGCCATTTTCTTTGGGATTTTGGTGAGCATCCTGGACTGGGCGCCTGGTGCGTTGATAGTTCTCTCAGTTTCTGGATTGATTGCCAGTTGCACTGGCGAACGAATCTGACACTGAAACCTGAACCAAAATTGTAGCACACCATAGCGCTATTTGTTCCCCATTCCGCAGAGGTGGAGCCACTTTCCACCCAGGTATGAGCTTCGGGGTGATGATAACTTTGGTGCTGATCGTGGAATGTTACACGCGCGCCTGTGAGCACCTTGGCATACCTTGGCTCTGGGAGAGCTCCCGAACTTTCCCGGGCTGTTTGGCCTTGTTCGTTTTTTTTGGTCACCCAGAAAGATATACTTAACAGATCTTAAAAGATCTTAAATGTGAATTATATATCCTCCTTGAAATTTCCACTACGAAAAGGTAGGGCATATCCCCAGTACAAGGCTTGTTCTGTATACCTAAATGTGCCTAGTCCCCGAGGGTATTGCCATAGCTTTTTGTATCCAGTTCATTTTTGATAGTTAGCCCAGGTTGGGAAATTGTTTTTGTAGAGCTTTCAGCTCTATGTTTTCAGAGGCTTATCTTGGGATACCAGACTCCGGCTTGACCAAATTGTAGCAAGGTTGGTTCTGTTTTTGTAGGTTTCCACTTTGTACCAGCGAAACGCCAGCTCGCTTTCTGTAGCCATTTGGTTGCTTGAAAGACTGCATTTGCAGAAGGTGTAGAAGAAATCATGCCCCCACCACCAGGGTGGCCGAAACAATGCCAGATTGAGCGTTGCCATGAATCGGTGGATGTACCGGAATGGGATTCCAAGCGGCACTGTTGGCGCACTTTGGTTGCATCAGAAGGGATGGTGGAATGAGCTACAGAAATTCAAAGCCGTGGTGGGTTGTAAACTTGTACAGTATGATGTTTTGTTGCTTTGAAAGGAATATGTTTTTCCAATATAGGGATTGCATGCTGCATGCTTGGGTTCTGCATGCTGCATTCCAGTGTGGCATCTAAGTCACCCAGTGCCAGAAGATGGGCAAAGATGGCCGCAAGTGGCACCATGTGTTCTATGATTGGAGCCTTGTCCTGCAATGTCCTGTATATATCTGTATATATTCTTTGCCTTATTGGTGCACACAAACAAAACCTTTGAAATCTACAGGGTGGAAGCCTTGACCTTTTGTCGCATGCATGTCCCTGCATTGGAGTCAACGTAGATTGCCCTCACCCACTTTCTAAGGGATGAGAAGGTATGGACCACTTGCTTGGCTATCAGTGCCCACAGGAAAATTCAGAAAGTCGAGTTTTGGCAGCAGTAAGGGCCTCTACAAATTGTCACGCACAAGGTTGAGCCATTACAGAAAGAAAAAACATGAAAAAACTACATGTGGGGATTGTTTGGCTGCGTGCGGCCACCTTGGTGGGGTAACTCTACAAATTGTTTTGGGCATTAGCCGAGTACTACAGAAAGGCAAATTTTGACACCGTCAAGTGTTCAAGCTGAGGAAAAGACTGAAAAGCAATTTTTGGCTGAGCGCAAAGATGAAGCCGCTCCAGCTGCCACATGTTTGCACCCAGGGTACACAATGGGCGGCCACTAGCTGTATATATTTTTATTGTTTGAATCTTATTTACCAACAACCTCTTGAGCCACCCGCATTCGCTCACCCTTCATTGTTTTTCTGCACGGGGCTTGGAGGAATCCGTGAAGGGAAAGAAGAAAAGCAAGGATGGGGGTGTGTCTTTGCTGCTCTAGGGGGTTGAGGGTGGGACCACAACAGAGGATCCAACAAGGACAAAAAAAAATGATCAAAAAATCATTTTTTTTTATGAATCAGTTTTGTTTTTGTAGGCCCATAACATTGGCGATGTTGTTTGTGTAGACATTTCCCAGTAGAGATCACACTGCACACGCTCTGAGGAAACCTTGAAGAAGGACAACAAGACCGCCGAGAAAGCTGCACCAGCTGAGTCGAAGCCTGCAGCTGTGGCTTTGCTGCTGAAGGGGGGTTGAGGGTGGGACCAAAAACAGAGGAGAAAACAAGGATCAAAAAAAAATCAAAATTGATCAAAACAATCATTTATTTTTTTTGATGAATAAGTTTTGTTTTTTGGGCCCATAGCATTGGCGATGTTGTTTGCGCAGACATTTCTAATTAGAGGTCACTCTGCACACGCTCTGAGGAACCCTTGAAGAAGAAGGACAACAAGACCGCCGAGAAAGCTGCACCAGCTGAGTCGAAGCCTGCAGCTGTGGCTTTGCTGCTCAAGGGGGTTGAGGGTGGGACCAAAAACAGAGGAGAAAACAAGATTTAAAAAAGAAGCAAAAAGGATTACTTTGTAGCAAAAAGGATTAACAATATTTTTTTGAGGAATCAGTTTTGTTTTTGTAGGCCCCTAACATTGGCGATGTTGTTTGTGTAGACATTTCCCAGCAGAGATAACTCTGCATACGCTCTGAGGAACCCTTGAAGAAGAAGGACAACAAGACCGCCGAGAAAGCTGCACCAGCTGAGTCGAAGCCTGCAGCTGTGGCTTTGCTGCTCAAGGGGGTTGAGGGTGGGACCAAAAACAGAGGATAAAACAAGGATCAAAAAGAATCAACAAGGATCCCAAACAGTTAATACAAACTATTTTGAATTAATCAGTCTGTTTTTTGTAGGCCCATAGCATTGGCGATGTTGTTTGTGTAGACATTTCCCAGTAGAGGTCACTCTGCACACGCTCTGAGGAAACTTTGAAGAAGGACAACAAGACCGCCGAGAAAGCTGCAGTTGCTGAGTCGAAGCCTGCAGCTGTGTCTTTCCTGCTCTAGGGGGTTGAGGGTGGGACCAACAACAGAGGAGAAAACGAGGATCAAAAAGAATCAACAAGGATCCCAAACAGTTTGAAAAAAAAAACTATTTTGGAGAAATCAGTTTTGTTTTTGTAGGCCCATAGCATTGGCGATGTTGTTTGTGTAGACATTTCCCAGTAGAGGTCACTCTGCACACGCTCTGAGGAAACTTTGAAGAAGGACAACAAGACCGCCGAGAAAGCTGCAGTTGCTGAGTCGAAGCCTGCAGCTGTGTCTTTCCTGCTCTAGGGGGTTGAGGGTGGGACCAACAACAGAGGAGAAAACGAGGATCAAAAAGAATCAACAAGGATCCCAAACAGTTTGAAAAAAAAACTATTTGGGAGAAATCAGTTTTGTTTTTGTAGGGCCATGGCATCGCGATGTTGTTTGTGTAGACATTTCCCAGCAGAGATAACTCTGCATACGCTCTGAGGAACCCTTGAAGAAGAAGGACAACAAGACCGCCGAGAAAGCTGCACCAGCTGAGTCGAAGCCTGCAGCTGTGGCTTTGCTGCTCAAGGGGGTTGAGGGTGGGACCAAAAACAGAGGAGAAAACAAGGATCAAAAAGAATCAACAAGGATCCCAAACAGTTTGAAAAAAAAATATTTTGGAGGAATCAGTTTTGTTTTTGTAGGCCCATAACATTGGCGATGTTGTTTGTGTAGACATTTCCCAGCAGAGATAACTCTGCATACGCTCTGAGGAACCCTTGAAGAAGAAGGACAACAAGACCGCCGAGAAAGCTGCAGTTGCTGAGTCGAAGCCTGCAGCTGTGGCTTTGCTGCTCAAGGGGGTTGAGGGTGGGACCAAAAAAAGAGGATAAAACAAGGATCAAAAAGAATCAACAAGGATCCCAAACAGTTAATACAAACTATTTTGAATATTTTTGAATTATATAATCAGTCCGTTTTTGTAGGCCCATAGCATTGGCGATGTTGTTTGTGTAGACATTTCCCAGTAGAGATCACTCTGCACACGCTCTGAGGAAACCTTGAAGAAGGACAACAAGACCGCCGAGAAAGCTGCAGTTGCTGAGTCGAAGCCTGCAGCTGTATCTTTCCTGCTCTAGGGGTTGAGGGTTGGACCACAACAAAGGATCTCAAAAATGAATAAAAATGGAGCAAAAAGGATCACTTTGTAGCAAAAAAGGATAAGCAACATTTTTTTGAGGAATTAGTTTTGTTTTTGTAGGGCCATGGCATTGCGATGTTGTTTGTGTAGAAATGTCCCAGTAGAGGTCACTCTGCACACACTCCGAGGAACCCTTGAAGAAGAAGGACAACAAGACCGCCGAGAAAGCTGCAGCTGATGAGTCGAAGCCTAAGGCTGTGGCCTTGCTGCTCTGGGGGGTTGAGGGTGGACCAACAACAAGGGTAGATGTGTAGACATATGGTTTGGGCGATGTTGTCTAGCGAAAGAAGACACACGTGTATCATACAAATGAAGCATTTTTTTCCACAGCTTTAAGACGAAGCCAGGGCGTACAAACATGTGACGGGAACAATGTTCTGGCAAACAGCCAGGATTCTTTTGACGAGCTTTGTTATTTGCTGGACAACTTCGAGCCTGACACCACAGAATTCTTTTCCCATGAGCAGGTGTCT